ACAGACGCACACACACACACACACACACACACACACACACACACACACACACACACACACACACACACCACTCTGAGCAAAGTGACAGAAAAGGACTGACGGTATAAAAAAAACGTAACAGTTCTAGTAACTTGTTGAACTTAACTACTTCCCATAGGGGCTTGAAGTGCTGCTTCTTCTTCTTCTTCTTCTTCTTCTTCTTCTTCTTCTTCTTCTTCTTCTTCTTCTTCTTCTTCTTCTTCTTCTTCTTTTTCTTCTTCTTCTTCTTTTTTAATGCTACATTATTTAATGCTACAAATAAAAAGTTCCATTTTGTTTAGTAAACAGTGTCATAGTACCATAACTATGAGGTTTGTCTTTCTTAAACAAATGTGAAAGATTTGTTATGTTTATTGGCAGTGAGATATTAAGTCAAGATGGCCTCTAGACAGTCAGCTGAATGGTGGGTAAAGGAATCAGATTACCATCTTCTATGATAAAAAAGATCATGACTTCATGATTTCAGCTCTGGCATACAAACCGAAATGTTATCAGCTTAACAAACAGAAGAAAGACACATTGCAAAAATGTCTTTAATTGCTGGGGTATCTTAGCAGTGAAAGTGCACAGTCAAGGTAGTTTTATTGAAATGAAAGTGGCTGATCCTGAAACTATATTTAATTTCTCCACTATGCTATTTTCTCCTAGGTAATCAGCTCTGATATGGGGTCTACTGTTTCCTTCTGGATGATAGAGACTGGGCAGAAAATCAAACAGTTTTCTGGTTGCCATGGCAATGCAGAGATCAGCACTATGGCCCTGGATGCAAATGAGACTCGGCTTTTGACTGGCAGCACAGATGGGACTGTAAAGGTATGGACAAAATGAATCTTTTTCTACCCAGATATGAGGAGTCTAGAAGGATGTGCAGAGGGGCACAACTAAAACTTTGCTTGCTGTTGCCTTTGTTGTCTTGGAAGAAGAAAGACAAGAGCAGATAGCTAAATAAGTCAGCCAATAATTGAGCTGTTAGAATGATGAATAAATGGATTTTCTGAATAAATTATTTGTATAAAGACACAACAAGGCATACTTACTTCAGAAAGCCTTTTCTGGTACACGATTACTTTTTGAAAATAAGAGGTCTGGATAATTTTCACATGCTTCTGCTAACATCTCTAGTTTTCATAAATTTAGAAAATTTATGAAATGAGGAATAGCACAACATAATAAAGTTTTTAAATGGCAGTAATACACTTTTTTCAAAAAATCAATACTTAAAAGTAAACATATTTAATGACTTGTATTTTTGTTATACGAAATTAGTGAGGTGGTGAGCTGGGATAATAAAACTATAATCATAGTCATATTTCTTTTCTATCCTAATTAATAGTACCTTATTTCTTTTAGTTTTCTTATTTTATAACTACCATTTATTTCTTCTGTGAGAAAGGAGATATTTTAATTTGCATCATGATCAAATTTTCATGGAAAGCCAGATACATTTAGAAATTATACCTATCAGTGAAATCTCCCACCTTATGTCATGTAGAGAGCCATGGTCATCTTTGATTGGTGATGCCATGTGACATTGTGAGGCAACAGAAAGTAGTTTCTTGGATAAACTCAATGACTATCAAAGCTGTAATAACAGGGACATCAAGATGCTAGACTGCCTTCCATGGTTAACGGACCATGGGAATGGGTACATAATGCATGCTGTTAAGGTGCTGGGGAGTCACAGAAAGCTACTTGGATATGGAGAAACACTACCCTATACATAGTGCCGAAAGTTCAGGGTCAGCTAAGGCTGATAATTGCCAGCATGAGAAGGTATCTTGGGTGGGCTTAGCATGAAAATCTCTGTATGTAAACAGAACATGGCTGTGGAAAGCCACATCAATGAGAAGTGGACTGCAGATTGGTGTAGGAAAGATCACTGTTCATAGGAGATCTGATACAGTGTGGGAAGTCACTGATCACCCCAGTCCTCACAGATAGGGGTGAAATAGAAGAGCAACAACTGAAACTGGCATGCTAGACAGGCAAAAAGAATTGGTCAATGCCTCACTACACAATCCTAAAGTGTGAAACTGAGGCAAAAATAAAGCAAGGGAAAAAACACCTATTTACCCATTATGTAGAAGGAACTGGTTATAGAGTTCAGGGTAAGGTAGACCTCATAGATATTGCAAAAATGATCCATGATGAATACTTCCTAGAATGAAAGATGGCCAGATCTTTTCAATATTTCTTTGTGGGAATTATTTAATTGAGATGAGTAATAGTTTTTTCTAGAGGAAAGCAATACAACATGGATGCAGACCCTAGGTGACCCTGGATTCTTTGCAGAAACCTGCACATTTACAGGTGACTATAAATTTAGTTGTGTAGGGGCTGAAAGGATGACTCAACAGTTTAGAATCATTTCTGCTCTTCCAGCAGACCTGAGTTCAGTTTCCAGTACCCACATTTTACTACTGTCTGGAACTCTAGTTTCAGGGCATCTTCTTCTGGCCTCCCTGTACACATGTGCACATATACACTGAGAGACACACATACACATAAATCCATACTAAAATAAGCCTTAAAATCAATTTAGTAGCAGTAGCATAATTATTGAATTTTAAGGTGCATTTTTTCTTATCACAGTCACACAACATAATTGGAAGTCTGGCAACCTCTGTATTAGACATGTCAATAAAGGGTGAACTTCTTTGGGCATATTTTGTGAAGGAATGAAATGAGTGACAGTTTGCAACCCATTTACCATCTCAAATCAGAAGCTGTATGATCAAAGAATTTATATTATGTTCCACTTATGGTTTAAAGGAACTGAAAACTAATGAATCTTTGAAGTAATGTCTACACAGAATCTTTGTTCCCTTTTCCCATTATTATACCTGTATTGTTGGTTTCTTGTCCATTTTTCTAGCCTAGAAGAACTAATTTTTTTGCTAGATGACAGAGCACTGTACATGTTGATCTGATATTTCATGATTGTGTCATGGATATTAGTTTATATGGATATTCTACATAAATAATCAAGTTTATTAAATTCTACAGCATGCTTACTTTGAACCAGACGCTGTTACAAGTCACACACACACACACACACACACACACACACACACACACACA